GTTTTGGGACTAGCATGGACTTTATCATCTTCTTAAACTGCTCTAATTCACTCAAAAATTGAGGCTGTAATTGATCCTTTTTCGTGTTAGGATTGTTTAACACATTTGGATCAGTTGAAGGAGGGGATAGGGCAAACGCATTAAAACCAGGAAAGAACTTCAAGATGCCTTCGGCTACATCTGGTACATCACTCCTACTTCGGGGAGCATTCTGACGGAAAACCTGTGTAAAGAATCATTTATTTGGCTTTAGTATCCCTTTCATTTGCGACCTTTTGAGACGGCGTCTCGACCTTGTTTTAGATTCTAACCTTTTTCAAGAAGTAATCCTTGATGTCTTTGCAGTCGCGTGGAATGGAGAGCACTTCATCTCTCAGCAACCAAATAAAGAAAGGAAACGTTCTGTGTAAGAACTCTTCTTCTTTTTTCTTATCAGTTTCTTTCCAGTTAGATCTTGCATGGATTCGTTCAGACAGCTTAGAGATAAAGCTAAATCGACATTAAAGAAAATCCAGAAGTATTGATTGGGACCAAAGTAATCAAAGTCATATTTTATTTGTCGTAACCCGTAAGGAGCCTAAATCAAATTTTGAACATTTTCACCTTTCAATCTCTTCATCTCTACGTTTCTTCTTGGGAAGAGCATTCCTTTATTATTATTCCTCTATTATTCACGTAACACTACTGGCAGCCGTTGAGGTCATGTTACAAAATGTGATTGATATGGCAAGGATACTGCAAACTATCGAGATCACGCCTTGTGGGAACACCACTTGAGTTATAAATAAGCACGGAAGCCAACAGAACGGTTAAAGTAAATATCTGATAGTCGTCACGACCTTTACTGAGAGCAGCGTCAACACCCTCTGAATCCAACAGCACCACTGTGACGTCTTGGCCACTTAAGTCCTAAATAAGGTAAGAGACCAGTCACTATTCATTATTCGTTTATTTCGCCTGGGGATGGGTGAAGAATTTTTAGGTATCACTTGGTTTTAAGTGGGAACGGATCGAGGATCAGTAGTTGCCAAATGAGTATAAAGGGGGCATATAGAATATTTACTGCAGTTGAAAATGTGGAGGGTCGAGAATATCACATAGCCTTATGGGGGGATCGGGTAAGGTAATAAAAAATCCTTCTTCCCCCCCCCCCCCCCCCCCCCCCCCCCCCCCCACCTCAGGCGATAAGTAATGACTGGTGCCTTAAGTCTAGAAAGCGTCAGAATACTGAGCTCAAAATTTACCATATTTCCCACATTCGTTCAGCAGAACGCTTTCGACCACACAGGATGTTTGTCTCCTATCATGATAGAAACTTCAGAGATCAAGACCAGTCTGGCTCGGTTCCAAAATCTCGCTGGGACTCAGTCTGTGCTCTGTCCATGAGTTCTCGGTACACTAATGCTGTCATACACTTTGCACTTAGGCAATTTCAAGAAAATACTACTGTTTGTGCCAGTCTATGAGGCTCATTTAGTTTTTGTTATCAGAAACACGCAAGCGGAACCGTCGAGTGTTTTGCGTAACAATGAGGGATAAAACACAGGGGCGAGGGGGAGGGGCCAAATATCAGATTTCAAGTTTTTTAGATATCACTTTCACTCCACATTTTCTTTGAGCACATCTGTATATCACTTCTAAAAAAAGGAAAAGAGAGGGAGCGATGCCATATATCACATTAATCTGTGGCACGCTTTAACGTTTCAAAGCTTTCTAGCTTTTCAACAGGTCTATCGTGCACACAGTCACGTGAATAAGATAATAACTATGCTTGTATTTGCCATATGCTAATTGTCATCATTGCAGATCCCAAAAACCCCTTAGAACGTCTAATACTTCCTCCTTATTAATATCAAAGGCGCTTGCAAGCAAACGTATGAGCGGTATTTAAGCAAAATAGAATCGTGAGTCACGTCATTTGACATACAATATGGGAGATTCGATCTCCTATCACTTAATAATTTGAAATATTACTGTGGCTTATATGGAATAAATTTCCAAAGTCTAAGTTTCACACCTTATATTTCTCTGGCACGATCCATATCCAGATTCCC